TTTTGTGATGCTTTCTGGCTGATGTCATGCTGGACAATAAATGTAGCATTGAGCGACTCGTTTTTCTAGGTCACTGTGTCCACAGTTAGTGAGCTGAGCCAAATTGCAGTTCTCTTGGAACCAGGATTGGTCCTCAGGCAAACAGTGGGGAAAAAGGCAGTTGAGCAAGGAGCACTACTGACCTAGTGATCGCTCTGTCTGGGTTAGGAACCTGGACAAACCTATGTAATCAGTAAGTGCGGGGCTTGTCCTGCAGAAAACGTAAGTTTCGCAATACGGTGCCAAATGCCCTGAGACATTATATTCTGTGCTACCCTTTTTCACTTTCAAGAATATTGGCTGGAATGCATTGTTTATTTGATTTATTATTATTATTTATTAATTTTGAGACAGAGTTTCCTGTCGTAGACCTAATTGACCTTGAATTTACTATAAAGACCAAGCTAGCTTTGAACCTGTGGAAATCTTCAAGCTTCAGCTTCTCAAGGGCAGGGATAAACCAGGATGGAACCACCACACCTGACTTTTGACTATTCAGTGGATCAGAATTTGCACAGCGAAAGGCTGGCTCCTATCACGTTCCCCAGGTTGCAAGTGAAGAAACTGAGGTGAGTGGCATCCAGGGATTGTGTGTGTGTATGTGTGTGTGTGTGTGCACGCGCATGTGTGTATGTGTATGTGTGAGAGTGTGTGTGTGTATGTGTGTGTGTGTGCGTGTGTGAATGTGTGTGTGTGTTGTCCTTGAAGTGAAGGGATTGTGGCAAAGGATGAACCCCGTTGTGTGTGCCCTCACAGCTCCTGCTGTTTCCAGGAACCCTGCTCTGGGCTCTCCTGGGTAAAGTGTCATCCCTGAGCCAGGCTGTCAAGCAGCAGCTGCTTTAAGAGCAGGTTCGTTGCTAAGGAGAGGCGCTGTCACCCCTTCTCCAGGGCTCAGCCTTTCCGGCTGCTGAAGGAAGTCTCCTGCCCGGCCAGGCTTTCTCTGAACTGCCCTTGCTGTGTTTAGGCAAGCTAGCTATTTCTCCCAAGTTCTCTGTGTTTGTAGTTCCCCCTCTGGGTTAGAGAGCACGCCTGCTTCCACCATCTGGGAGCCGGATAAGCATGTCCTGTGTGCATGGTACACACTCTTGTTCCTGTTTCACTCAGGTCCTTCTGGATGGCTGGGGGCGGAGTGGCCATTGGGAAAGACTGGGCCCCTTGTTGGGCGTGCTTATCCTCACACAGCAAGCGTGGCAATGAACTGGGCTGTGTGAGGCAGCATCTAGAGGCTGTGAAGAAATGGAAAGTAAGTGTGATAGGTTGACGAGGGCTCTGGAAGGAGCCAGTGCCGGGGAGAGCACAGAGTGCTGGAAACCAGGGCGCTAAGACCCTGAAGGCCACCTGCCAGCACAAGGCCTGCCCCGGTTGCAGTAGAGGTGGCTTCTGGAGAGGTTAAACAGTCCTGCTACCTGGAACTTCTTTTTGACTTGTGGAGGTGTCTTCAGGCCTGGAAAGTGGCTCAGATTTTAGGTTGTTTTTGTTTCTTCTTAGATGCAATAGGGACCTGTCTGTCACTTAAACATCTTTTTGGAAATTTCTGCAGATTATGGATGTCTGTTTCCATCTACCTGCTGGACCTTTAAGATCAGTTGATGCTACATTTCATTTCTTTTTTTTTTTTTTACAAAAAATTTACGTGCATTGGTGTTTTGCCTCCATGTATGTCTGTGTGAGGGCATCAGATCCCCTGGAACTGGAGTTACAGACAGCTGTGAGCTGCCATGTGGGTGCTGGGAATTGATCCTAGGTCCTCTGGAAGAGCAGCCAGTGCTCTTAACTGCTGAACCATCTCTCCAGTACTCAGTTTCTTGCTTTTCTTCTGACACAGGTCTCGCTGTATATCCCAGGCTAGCCTGGACTTCACGATGTCATCTGCAGTCTAGGCTGGCCTCAACTCTGATGTACTATTGCCTCTGACTCAAAAGTGCTAGAACCGTAGGGTATGGGTAGGAGGCCCATATCTAGAACCATAGGGTATGGGTAGGAGGCCCATATCTTGTTTGCTTCTCTTCCTCCTCAGCTTCAATCTTGTCTTCCTTTTCTTTTGTTGGAGACAGGGTCTTTCTACGTAGCCCAGGCTGGCCTTGACCTCACAAGGGAGATTCTCTTGCCTCTGTCTCCCAAGTGCCGAGACTGGAAGCATGCACCACGATGACACCGTTTTGTTTTTTTTTTTTCAATTCTAATTATCTGTCTCTCCATTTATTCACTCACTCATCCTCTCATTTATTTACTTGTGTGCATGCACAGGGATGTGCACTTGCCATGAATCTTGAGTGGAGCGCAGAGGACAGCCTGCGGGAGGCATCTCTCCCTCTACAGTGCCCATGTGGGGGATTAAGGGCAGGCAGGTCGTCAGACTTGGCAGCAAGTGCCTCTACCCGATAAGCCATCTTGCCTGCCGGGCCTTCCCTTCTTCTGTCGAGAAAATAAAGCTGATGCACGTGCGGGAACAACATCTAATAGGAGGCGAAAGAGAAGCAATCTTTCCAGACTCCCCCCCACCCAGAACTGGCATCCTCCTCTTTCCCCCAGGGTTCCGGCTCTTGTCCAGGTGGACACATTTTACTGTAGTCCCTTTGGTGAGAAAGAGCCACGGCAAAGTAGAAGTCATTTACTAGTTATTACATTCACTCATTTCTGTCCTCCATTTGACTCCCCTACTGAATGCACAGCTAACATTATTAGCCATAAATCGTGTTTTAAGCCTATTAACATTAACATAACTTTAGTGAGGTAGGTGTGGCTGTTACTACTACTACTACTTCTACTACTATTATTGTGAGCATCTCAAGGGGCCCAGGCTGGCCTGGAACTTGCTGTGAGTCTTGCTGTGACCTTGAACTCCTGGTGCCCTTGACTCCATCTCTTAGGTGCTGGGATTCCCAAGTCTATTTTAATACAGTACTCTAGACTGAATCCAGGCAGCTACTCAGTTGACAGACAAACTTGGAATGATTGAAAGAATTGCCTAAGATTACACAAGCTGTCACCATCAAGTGAGGCAGACAAGCTTCAAATCTAAAATCTCAAAGCATTTATGCAAAAAACCCAAAGCTAGACTGGGATCTAGAAACCCCATCTGGCTCCATCCATTCTCAGAAGGCATTGGGATTCTGGGCGCTTTTAAGTTGGAATTGTGCCTGCTGAGGCAGAGAGATGGGCTATGCTTGGTTTTCCCTTATTTATTTTACAGACTTAACCCTAAGTAATTTGGATTGTTTATATGCAGACAGCTTTGCAAATCGCTATTGTTTACCAAAAGCTTTGAAACATATGACTTCACTTCATGCTTACTCAATAACCAGGTAGTGAGGCTTGTGTAGCATCCCCAGAGTCAGAGAAAGAAGAGAGATGAGGAACTGCAGTCCAAAGCCCAAAGCCATTCCAGCTTAAGGGGGTCTGTGGCTGCCAAAGCAGGCAGGTAGAGTGGGGTTTGCTGGCCAGAAGGACTGCATTGTCAGCAGGCTCTGAACGGTTTCCTATTAGTGAATCCAGCTGCAGCCGATATTAGCGGAGAAAGAAATGTTTTCAATGTGCTCCTGCATAAAGAGCATGGCCTGTTCCTCAATGTGCTGGCACATACCCATAATCCCAAGGCAGAAGTATTGCTTGAGGCAGGAGGTTTGCTATAGGTTTGAGGTCAGCCTGTGCTACATAGTGACTTCAAGGCAGCCTGTGCTGCAGAGTGGGACCCTGTCAGGGTAAAAACAGTCAGTTGTGGAGGATGCAGCTAAACTGGGAGAGTACCTACTCAGCATCAACAAGTCCTCCAGGTTTTCTTCCCAGTAGGTAGCACAGCTCTGGAAACCCAGTGGGAAGACGGGAAGTTCAAGTCGCCCTGACTACATCGAGAGTTAGAGGGCAGCTTAGGCTAAATAAGACCTTGCCTCCAGGAAAACCAAACCAAACCAACCCAAGCCCGCGCCCCTGCACACACTGGACATACAAGTACACGTGTACACACAGATAGCCTACATGTTTTTGCTGTTGAGTGCTGTAAGACCTGGTGCTGGTTCTTGACTTTTGGAAGCCAGTATCACTGCCTTCTGAAGAATCGTAATATTACAAAATTACAATGCGTTTGGAGTGATCCACTAGGTTGGCGGAAGGTAGGTTGCTGGACTGGACTTCTGAAGTTGGTTTGTTTGTTTGTTTTCCAAACACAAAACATTGGCAATACTGGCCCTGCAGAATTCTATTGCCCGAGTTAACAATGGCTGCAGAACTCACAAGGGGCTTTCAAGGTCTGAAGCACAGAAACGGCCTTCACATCTACTATCCCACCAACTCCAGCCACCTGGACTCCCGTGCATGGTCATGGAATGTCAGGAAACCAAGTTCCAGACATTAAGTAGAGCTGGTGAAGTGACATGGTCAGGATCAGAACGAGAGTCAATTTTGTTTGAGATGAATCCAGATTTAGCCCATGCTTTTATCATGACATCATGCCCCCCTCCAATAGGCATGAAACAGTGATCAAATGCCAGGGTAAAATTGTCGTGTATCACTTTATCTCAGAATAATTCCCCTTTAGATTGCTCTTCAGGCATCATCGGAACATCTGGCAAATGGTCGGCTGTCTCCTTGTGGCAGCTGGGAGACCAGCGAGTCAAACATTGACCAGGTTATTGACACAATGGGTCTGGGTGTTTGTTTAGGTATCAGGTAGTTGTAGATTGTCTTTAAACACTGTTTTGAAATGAAAATAAATGTGGCAGTAAGCCCTAAATGACCCTAATAGAATGTCAAGAATGATCAATACACGATCACAATAGGTTTATAACCACACGAGGTGATCCAGAGGGGAGCCATGGTTCTACCTGATTGTGATGGGAATGGGGGGGGGGGGGATTTCCGAAGGTCTTGGAGGAGAAACTGGAGGGGGTGGCTAGAGCAGGAGTGAGGGGAACAGGTGGAGACTTAAGGGACAGAAGGACTGTGAACTCTAGGCGAGTGATCTCAAGTCATGCAAAGGACCCTTTTCTGACTGAACCCAGAGGCTAAGGGCTAGTGTAGTCTCGTGCAAATGAAGTTGTCTTCTATAAACCAGCACACCGTGGATGAGGCCCGGCGCCCACAAAACTGAAAAGGGATGGAAAGATGAATAGATGGAGGCCTTCAGGAGTTTGAGGTTTTCTGAAGGAGGACAAATCATTCCTGGAGCCTTGGAGAGCAGCACCCACTTGGGAGTTCTTCTCTGTCAAGGGGTTTGAGGAGTGCTTCAGGGCAGGGTAGATCAAATCCGCTGATAATTCTTAGGTCACCGTGACTCAGAGCCTCTGATGATGGCATGGCTCCCGTGGGGACAGGTATGCCTGCATGGAAGACACCAGCTGGTCATCCTCCAGGGCCTGGGTGTACTGTTGAGGCTGGGAACCCTGAGAGCAGTCAGTGTTCAGGACCCTCCGGCTATAATGAAGCCAGCCATTCAAACCGACAGCTGGGTTTGGCCAACGGCAGATCTCAGTAACTTCACAAGACAGGTAAGAGAGAGCTGAGGCAACCACAGTAACAGACGAGGCCACAGCCTGAGGAACTGAGGTAAAGGGTTTATTTGTGCGTGTGTGTGTGCGCGCGTGCGTGTGTGTGTGTGTGTGTGTGTGCATGCACGTGTGTGTGCGTGTGTGTGTGTGTGTGTGTGTGTGTGTGTGTTTCTGCGGCTGAATGAAATCAGGAGGTGTGTTTACCGACAGGGAGACACCTCTGAGCACAGGAATGGTAAGAATGATCGAAGCAGATAGATACTGGTGACATAGGATAAGGCAGGGCAGGAAATGCCGGACACCGAGAGGGGGACTTGAAGCCTTTATTGAGAGTTGAGGGGACAGCTTGGCAAGGGTATCCCCTGTTGGCTTTAGGAAGGGGTGTGGCGCTACCAGCTGCTGAGAAAAATAAGGGAGGTGCTCCCGCAGCTGGGGGTAGATCAGAAGGCTCCTGGGATAACCTTCTCGCCCACGACCACTGGAAGTTCCCAAATGCATCTGTTGGAGGATGGGAAAAATTTGTTAATTAGTGTGGAAAACATGTTTGTTTTTGATGTACAAATAAAGGCGGCTGGAGCTATTTGGGGTCAGCCACTTGTGTGAAGCTCATCCGGTGGTTGCACGATTCATTTCGTCTCAGGCCTTGAATCCAGGCTGCGGCAGGACCACAGCAACCTGCCCACCCACCCAGACATCTGTCCACTCATTCACTCTTGGAGAGCATTTAAATCCTGACTCTTGGGCTGGCGAAATGGATCCGTGGATGAAGATGCTTGCTTTCAAGACTGATAACCTGGGTTTCCTTTCTGGGACCCACAAGGTGGAAGGAGAGAACGATTTCCTGCAAGCTGCCCTCTGACCTCTGAATGTCCAGTATGGGGCACACATATATACACACAGATAAAATGAATGCAGTAAATTCCTACTTTCCTCAATGTGTGATGTTTTTATTATGCCGTATTTTATTAGTGACAGTTACTTCTTCAAAATAAAACGACGTTTTGGTGTGGGGATCAGACTCAGGACTTCATGCGTGTTAGGCAAGCACTCCCTCCTTGCAGTCCCTCCTGAAGCCCTAGACTCTGCCTCTCAGCCACAACTCCAGTCCTCCTTAGTTTATTACTATTTCAATATGAATTCGGTAAAGCTTGGACCTACCTCTGTGCACCGTGTTCTGTTAATAAATACTGAGGGTATAGTCACTAATGTGGGTTGAATATTTTATTTTATTTTTTTTAAGGCAGGCTGTAGCCCAGGCTGACCTTGAACTTGCTGTGTTGGCAAATATGACCTTGAACTTCTAATTCTCCAGCCTCTACCTCTCGAGTGCTGGAACTGTAGGTGTCTACTATCGCAACTGTTTTTTTGGCAGTGGGAATCAAACACAGGGTGTTGAGCTTACTACAAATGTTCTACCAATGGAGCCACGTCTCCAGCCCTTTGGTTCAATCTTGAGGGTTCAGAAGGCATTTTGTAGGCGAGAAAGGAGAGAAAGGAGCAGATTTAGATGTGAGAATTGCTGTATAATGCTAGTGGTAAGAAGCGCTGTCTTCAGATAGCTCCTGCTGTCAAGGCAGCCAGATGGAAGGTACACGGTCTCCAGCACTGAAGACTAGAGGTGAACAAACTCTGGGTCACGCATGTCTGTGTTCATGCTGAAGAAGCCTAAAGCAGCTGAAAAGACATCTATTGAAGTCAGTTTGACACTTTTGTGTAAGCCATGAAGTTACTGACTTTCTCTAGACTTTCTGAGCTGTTGATGGCAAATGAGAGCAGGTCCTATGACCACGAGGGCAAGGGGCAGCCTGCCCACTACCCCGTGTTGCCAACCTTTCCTGTGACTCATTCCCCTTCTCCCTATATCTAATCTTCCTCATCATTCAGCTTCTCGTATACACGTCTGTAAACCTGGTCAGGACTCAATAAATGTTTGTGGAATGAATCACACTCCTATCAAAGGTACGAGTGTACCTGAAAGCTCTCTAGACTTTTTCACCATCCCAGGCCCGTGTCCATTTGTACTGGCAGAACCGCACTAGATTAGCTACTTAAAGCAGCAAGCTTCAGGTCCTGGCTGTCCTCTGGGAAGCCCTTACGGCCAAGCCTCCAGTTGCTTTGGGGACCACTGTTGTGGATCTGGAAATGTTGTGGATGGCATCTACTGTGCCTGATGCCTGTTGGGTAGTTTTGAGCTATGCGTAATTCCATGTCTGTGAAAGGGATTTGCTGACTGTGGACTACTGTGCATTCATGGGGGTAATAGTCCTATTCCTCCCCTAAATTAGGTAATTTTTATGTTATACTTGGTTGATGGAATACTCCCGTACCTAGGAAGTATATTGGGACACAGAGTGCACATTTGGGACATTCATTGTTAAATTTTGATTATTTATATTATTCATATTATTTTTGCGACAAAGTCTTATTTATATACATTGGGCTGACCTGGAATTCACTGTGTGGCCAGAGACGGTCCTGAATTCTTAGTTCTCCTACCTTCATCTCTCAAGTACCAGGATTTCAGGCATGCGTCATCATGCCTGGTCTAACTTTAGTTACTATTATGTGTGTGTGAGCATGCTCACGCGTATGTATACATGCCATGGAGTGTGTGAAGAGACCACAGGACAGTCCATGGGTTACAGAGATTGAACTAGGATCAGCCGTTCTGTGTGGCAAACACTCCTAGCCACTGAGCAGTCTTGTTGCTCTTGGAGTGTTTATGTTTGCACCTCTCTCTCTCTGTCATCTATCATCTACCTATTATCCATCTATCTCTATATATATCATCAATCTATCTATTTATCATCTCTATCTACTCTATAATCTATCATCTATCCATCTATCTCTCTATCATTTATCTATCTAGCTATCTATCTTTCTATAATCTATCATCTGTCATCTATCCATCCATCTATCTATGTATCTATCTATCTATATATATATGTATCTATCTATCTATCTATATAAGTATCTATCTATCTATATAAGTATCTATCTATATATGTATCTATCTATCTATATATATATGTATCTATCTATCTATCTATATATGTATCTATCTATCTATCTATATATGTATCTATCTATCTACTCTACCATCTATCTATCTGAGGTTGACCTTGGATTTCTGATCCTTTTTCTGTCACCTCTGAAGTGCTGAATTCTATGCCTGCACCACTACACCTGACTTATGCGGTGTTGGGGACTAAACCCAGGCCTTTGTTGTATGCTATGCGTGCCCTCTACAAACTTGGCTAACCCTCTGTCCTTCTGGAGGTCATTAGTAAAGTGACTTTTACAAAGGCTCAGTGGGGTCTGGAGAAACCAGAAAACACCAGAGGAGTGCTTCCCAGGCTGGAAGGGTCAGGAGTGGAGTGGAGTAAGGGAAAAGACTCTCTCCTGGGCCCCTCCTTCTATGGTTCTCCACAAGCTGACCCTGATCAGAAGCTGCGGTCAGTGTTACCACTGACACAGTCTGGAGTGACAGGTGCAGTGGCGGGAAGGGACTCCAGAAAGGTGACTGGAGGAGGAAGCCCCCAAAGGAGGGGTGAATGGCAACCAGAGATGAGCTCAAGCAAGGGCTAGAGACAGCAAGGCTCCTTAGAGCAATGAAAGTGACTGCACAGAGAGGGACAACTGATGGAGGGTAGACCAAGGAACCAGACGCTATCTACAATTGTGCATGCGTGTGTGTGTGTGACTTTATTCCTTTGATGAAACATGAGTAAGCACATTATTTTGAAATTTGGTTCATAGTGTGTACATCTATTTTGCACACATGCTCGCGCGCGCGCGCGCACACACACACACACACACACACACACACTTCTTCAAACCCCTTTAGTATTCAGCCTCAGGGGACACTGCTGGGTCACAAGCTGCTAACTGTTGTCTGTGGATGCTTCTTGAGGACAGGAAAAGTTTTACAAATCCAAGGCAGGGGAGACAGGGCTGAGAATGTGGATCAGTGGTAGAGGGGCTTGCCCAGCACGAGCAAGGCCTAGGGTTCAATCCCCAATATCGGAGAAATAAGACCCCCAACCCCAAATAGCTGGACTGGTTAGCTTTTGTCAGCTTGGCACAAGCTAGAGTCACCCGGCAAGAAGAACACCAAATGAGGAACGGCCGCCATTAGATCGACCTGTGGCATGTCTGTGAGGGATTGCTAATTGGCAGAGGAGAGCCCACCACTAGGCAGGCATACCTGGGCTCCATCACAAAGGCAGCTGAGCAAGCCAGTACGGAGGATTCCACTGTGGCTTCTGCTTCATGATCTTGCCTGGGAGTCCCTTGAAAATGGACTGTAGCTTGTAAGCTAAAATAACCTCTTTCCTCTCGTATTAGTGATTTTTCTCTTACTGAGAAATGAAGCGTGCCACTCCTTGTAGTATCGTAACCCACAATGTATGTAGTCCAACTTCAAGAGTCCCCGTAGTCTCTCACAGCCTCCACACTGTTTTAAAGTCCAAGGTCTCTCGTAAGACTACGAGGCGATCTCCTAATTGTAGCCCCATTGAAAAGCTCCACTCTCCCGTCTTCTCTGACTGCGACGCGTCTCTCTCCCTGGGGCTTGCTCCACCCCCTGTCTGCAGGTCCCCACGTCGGTCCCCACGTCCCATGGCTCTGGCCATGACCATCTCCAGGTCTCCAACACCATTCAGGTTTTGCTTTCACAGATTCTTGCAATGGCCTCTCAGGGTCCCGATGCAGGGACTCTCCTGCCACACACTAGGCCCGGGTGGCTCTCCTCGACTCCTGAGGGAGAGTTCCATAGCCCCTGGACTAGTGTATCCTTCACGACTCTAAAGCCAGCACACGGAGACGGCGCTGGCAAATACGGTGGTGAACCCCTGAGTCACATCGACAGCTGTTTCGATTTCCCATGCAGATCAGGCATCTTCTTAACCTCTGTCCTCTTCAGCACAAACCCTGACTGCAACATCAGATTTCCTTGTGTTCCTTTTCCTTCCCAATCTCTGCATTTGTGTGTGTGTGTGTGTGTATGTGTGTGTGTGTGTGTGTGTGTGTGTCTTCTTGGCCCACCCGCCCTTTCTCGTTGCCGACCTGCATAAGAGTGATTACTGATAACTGTGCGACACACTCAGTATCAAGCTGCTTTATAATCCCCACCAAAGAAGTTAGTCCATTACTTTTAAATTTAGCCTTAGGCATTTTCTTAGGATGAGGGCAGAAAACAGCCACATTCTTTACCAAATATTACAAGAGTGGTCTCTGGCACAATGCTGGTCTTGCTTCCCTGGGAAACCCCTTCAGCTGTGTTCCCATACCCCATGTAACCCGTAGCACTGCTCTCTTCCAAGCTCCTACTAGGATGGCCCATGAAGCTCTGTTTATAGCCTTCAACTGGTTTTCTAGCCCAAAGTTCCAAAGCCTTCTACGTTCCTCCACAAACCACAAAGTTAGGGTCATTCACAGCAATAGCTCACACTGCAGGATACCGACTTCTGTTCTAGTTACTTTGCTGTTGCCCTGATAAAATACCATGCCGAGGCAGCTTATGAAGGAAAGCATTTAATTGGGCATATGGTTCCACAGGGTTAGAGTCCACGACTGAAGGGCTGGGGGCAGGAACAGCTGATTGCAGGAGGTCGAGAGCACACTCGGAATGGCATGAGTCTTTTGAGCCCTCAAAGCAAGTCCCCAGAGACGTTCTTCCTCTAGCAAGGTGACACCTTCTAAATCTCCCCAAACAGTCGCCAACTGGGGACCAATAATTCAAATGTTCAGGCATATGGGAGACGTACCATTTAAACCACCAGACTTCTCCACGTTGCTTTTGGTCATGAGAGTAGACCGGTAGACTTTCACAGCAATATAGAAATCAAGCTAGACTGCCAAGCAAATGACCAAGCAAGCAAACCCACCACGACTGCCAAAGCAAAGGAGCAGTGCTTAGAAACAACACCGGGTA